TAAAAAAAAAAAGAAGAAAAAAAATATGGGAGGTTATAAATGATGTTAAATTGCATGTGGGTTGCAGAAGGTTAGGAAGTCAAGGTCCTTTTTTAATGACTTATGAAAATAAGGTATCTATCAAATTTCTATGGCATTTCAATGGAAAACCTAACTTTACCTTTAATTTGTGTGCTTAACAAACGAGGAAATAACAATTAAATTTATCATGATATACCATGAGTACATACTATATGTCACTTATACATTAAATCACAAACCATCCACTTATGCATCATTTTTTTTTATTGTATATTTAAGTGAGAAATTATGCATACTTATGAATATGACAGTCTAAACATTAAACAAACTAACATAGGATTGCAAATCAGTTGAGCAGAGTCGATGAGCCTTAGTGCCTTATTACTGAGCCATGCTAGTTTTTTTCGACACTTGTTTCAGCTTGACGAGCCCTTCTAGCTCGACCTCGTCTCGACTCGAAAAAAAACACACACACACACACAATCGCTTGGTATCGATTTTAACTTTGCTCGAGTTCAGCTCAAAAGTTTCATTTTAAAAATATACAGATAGAAGTATTTTTAGGTAATTTTATATACGTTCGAGCGACTCAGCGAGCACTAAAGCGCACAAACTAGAAGCACAGGTTTGAATTCAAAATGCTCAAATTCAACTCGAATTGGCTCGGGTCGAGCATTGACTCAAGTGCTCAGCTCTTTTCGAACCGAGCGTACTAGAAGACTTACCGATAATCAATTCATATAATTTAGAGCTAACATATATATAAATATCATTTTTGTGGTTCCAATGTGTAATTGTGAAATATTTATTATCATGCATGACAAAATACATATCAATTATAATCTTTTTTCCCTTTTTTTTGGCTATTAATGAAATATGATAGACAAATAAACAAAATGGGAGTAGAATAGGGCAGATATTGCGGCATAGGTATGGCACTCTGCCTCAATCTCATAATAAATTCTGGCAAAACCACAATTGCATGACAATATTTATTCATCAATTTTATTTTAAAAAAAAATGGTTTATTTTTCAGTCACGTGTGATTTATTTGGAAGCTTTTTCAGATTCGTTTCACGTAGTTATCAATTTATTTAAAAAAAAGCATTAGTTTTGAAATATTTATTTATATACTCTTTAATCAATGTACAGATATTATAACAATCTGCTCAGAAAATAAGGAATTAAATTCTATTTTTTTTTAAAAAATTCTTTTGTAATTATAACAATTTGCAAAATATCTACTTTAGTCCCTATTAACTTCATTTATTTTTATTTTTATTTTATTTTTTTGTCCATTGTATTTAGCCATGAGATGCAATAAACATTGCTAGTTGGGCTGCACCATAGTGGACTTCATTTTCTAATGTAACAATCACAGATTAAATAATTAAATTGTACATTTAATACAAAGAGCTAAAAATTACCAATCATAGGAGTTAAAGGGGCACCACTCTTGCTTATCCTAATCCAGGATTATTAAGCTATAATTAATCCCTGCCCATACATACATTGCTTTCACTATTCATAATCAATATAAATAATTCTCATACCATTTTTTGGGGACAAATAAGTAAATACACAGTAAAGTAATTAATTAATTTATGTTTTTAATATTTTAATTAGTGGTTCCTTCAATTAGAAGTGAGGATGTATAAAAATTAATCTACTTGATTAGTGCAAAATCAACCGATAATTAATTATGCGCATATTTCTTTAATTGGAAATGATTAAATCAATTAAATTATGACTAAACCATTATTTGAACTAATGAAAATACAGCCTCAAAGGTGAGAATTAATGTATCAGATGCTAATTAGCATAATATCAACCATTAATAATGCGCATTTTTCTTTAATTGTGTGAATTAATTTTTTTTAAAAAAAAATAAAATAAAATGGAAAATTGAGCAGTGGTTCTATTTTAATTATGCCTTTGCTAATTTTGATTATGTGAATTGATTACTGGGGCCCATAATCAGTGAAAAAGATGCTGTTTGTATATACAATTAAGGAAAAAATGGAACAAAGTAAAATTTTATCTCAATTGTTATCCAGTGAGTCACTTTATATTTCGCTTCAAGTGATGCCCCCAACAATCCATGGCTTAATGCCCTTTCTGTTCATGAAAATGATGTTATGAGTAGTTATTTTCATGTAAATAAAATAAAATTAATTATTTCGATATTACGTTGGTCTGGTAGTTTAGGACGATGGATAATGATAAAGTTTGTGTATGTTCCATGGCCATTTGGACCGAATGGATCGGGAATCGGTGAAAGAAAAGATGGTTGTAAAAAGATTAGGCTTCGATCGGTCGACCAGTCAAAACCGATAAAAAAATTGACTGGTCTGATCGTTTCTTTTATAATTTTTTTATAAAATTATAATTTTAATATAAATAAATTATTTATATAAATATTTTTGTTATACACAAATTATTGTATGAAATAGGGTAGACATTTGAACATTTGGAAATATATAAATATTTAATAACAGAAATTTATATTGCATTTTTTATTATTTAAAATATTATATACATTTGAAATGTTAATAATCTAAATACATCATACCGGTTCAATTTATGATTGAACCTGTAAAATATTAAGCTGATTATATGATCGGTTCGGTTCTGAGGAGCTCGATGGTGATGCAAAGTTTATTTCTTGCCACTAAAATTAAAAGGGGAATATAATAGGGAAAATATTATTATTATTAAATAGGAGTAATTATTATCATTATTATTATTATTATTAATTATTATTATTATTATCATCATGATGGTGAAAATAGGAGTCCTCAAGTAATTAAAGTGACACTATGTAACATAAAAGCGAAGTTTTGGATTAGACGGGCCTTCAAATTCAAAGGACTTGATGGACTGATAGGGTAGTGATAGGACACATAACATTCGGGCCTCTCGTTTATCTTCTTATATTAGCCCAATAAAGAGATTTGGGTTTTCTCTACAAACCCATTTTTTCTTGCAATTTATCAAATTAATTTAGAAAGAAAAAACTTTAAGTTATGCAGTTATTAGATTAATAATAAAATATAATTTACAGATAAGAATAATATAATATCAAATTAAAAAATTCGACTCTTGTACCAAAAAAAAAAAAAAAAATATTCGACTCTTTTAAATAAATGTACTAGATCAACAGTTTAAATTGCCGACTCATTTAAATAAATGTGCGAGTCAAACTCGAAATCGAACTTTTACTAACTCACCTTTAACACAACTCTACATTGCACCCAATTTAGCGTTCGAAAGGTCAAACAAAGGATTAGGCATGCCAAATCAACTAATTTCAGACCAAACCATAGATTAAACACAGAACACAGACAAATTCAAAATTGTTTTGATTCATTCAAAGAAAAAAAATGAAAGCAAAATAGTAAAGAGGGCCGAGGCACATTAGATTCTTTGTTCATTGTTTGGCGCCGCAAAAATAATTTTGAGCTCGTGACGACATTTTCATGTAACGACAAAATGAGGGCGGCTGAGGTTTTGTAATTAATTAACACTTGTCAATGTTTGTGTGAAAAGTTATTTTTATTTTCTACCGCACATGTAGAACACGTTATTTTTCATTCTTTGTTTTGAAAATTATGATTATTAAATTATTAGATAGGTCAACTTATAATATTATTTAAATAAAAATGTCATATTTATTTATTTATTATTATTATTATTATCAGATGTCATGTATATTTATGTTTATATAGTATTTCTTAGTTTGACATTTTCTAATAAGAAGTATTTATATTTGTAAAAAGAGTATGTAGGTCTAACACAAGAACAATTGTATTCTTCTATAATCTTCTAACATTGTTTTCCAGAAATAAAAAAAAATTAAACCATTAATAGATTAATTTTATCTCTAAAGGATGGCATTTGAGATGTAAACAATTCCAGCCAACTATTGATACTCGAGCTAGGGTGTGAGTGAAGTCAAGCTCGATTCGTTATTTAATCGAGTTAATAAACGAGTTCAAGCTCAATTCGTTAATGAAAATAACTAGACGGAGCTTTAACGAGCTGAGTTAAGATAATGGTTCGAAAAATTATTTAAACGAGGAACTCGAGCTCGGGTCGATTTGATAAACGAGCTGAGTTGAACAGAGGCCATGAGTGGCTATGATAATTTATCAACTCTAATCACACTATATGATGTGCATAGATTATCGGCCCACCAAGATTTCCTGTAGAATAAGTGAATCACCTCCCTTCGAACATCTACAATTAGTCACAAATAGATTTAAATCAAATCAAATATTATTCATAATCCTCCGAATATTCAAAAAACCATGGCCAAAATCCTCATTGTAATTTAATTATTTTCTTTTTTGCTAGGGGAATAAAATATAATTGGATCATAATAAAGAAAACAAGTATATTATTTCCTAAACAGTAACACAAATTATTTAAGCACAAAAATTTGAAGGCAAATACCAATCCCTGCCATCCAATATCCAACTATTCAATAAACCAATTTGACACCCACATCTTGCAACAAATTACATCCTAATTACCAACTGTTCCTTTTTTTTTCTCTTTTCTCTCTATGCTTCTCTTTTTTAATTCCAAACTTGCATCCTTTAAGGTGCAAATTGAAATTAAGCACAAAAAAGGGGGCTGAAGTAAATTCATCATCTCTCGAATCATCTACCCACCAAACAAAAGCCAGCCAACCAGACTAACCCAAAGAATTCCATGTATTTACACAATAGCCCCAACAATTTTTCAACATACCAGAAATCGCCCCCAAACATATTGTTTTCCCACTATTCATTGCCTAAATCCGTACCCATTATTCTGGGTCGGGTACTGACCCAAAAAGGGGTCAGACGAACCCGCAAAATCCGAAACAAAACCGCCCGGGTGGAATCCCGGTCGGCCCACCCGCAGAGCCAGGGCCCCACTCTGCACCTCTTCTTCACCAAACTGCTGCAGAGGGGCATAAACGTCACTTGAACCACCCACGTTACCGCAACCCATCTGCTGCTGGGTTTGGGCCTGGGCCGCCTCCGCCTGCCCGGATCCCGGCAGCGGGATGAGCCCAGCAAGTGTGGCCCAATCGAAGTTCCCGGAGCCCAGCTGCTGGAGGTTCTTCAGAGAGTTCAATCTCGGCAGAGAGAGGTAGCGCTCGTCGATTTCCGGGAGGGAGTCCAAAACGTCGTCGTATTGTGAGGAAGACGACGATGACGAACCGTGGCTGTATTCCTTGCTCTGGGCGGCGCCTCCGCCCACGGTGGTCGCCGCCGGCTTCTGCGCGCCGGAGCTCTTTTTGTAAATCCGGCAAAGCACCCACTCATCCAACTAAAAACAAGAAATTGAGAAGGAAAACAGAGTAATCAGTAAATAATCTGCCCAACAAAAAATGATTCTTTTATTTTCTTTTTTGATTTGCTTAAAAATCTCACCTTGGAACTGCCATTTTTGCGGGGAGGCTCTGAGAGCCTGAACTCGTGCATAATCCAGTTGGTTTTGGTCCCTTTGGGCGCTTTTCCAACGTAGAAAACGAGAGCTTTCTTAATCCCCACTTTCCGGCCACCGGTAGTGATGATCTTGTCGGTACCGGTGGCCTTCCAGTAACCGGATCCGGCGACCCGGTTCGGCCGGGACCCGTTCGGGTACTTCCTGTCCCTCGGGCTGAAGAAGTACCATTCCTTCTCGCCAAACACGGCTTTGCCTACACACACGCATTTAAACAAACACTTAGTATGCACACCCACGAAAATCAAGAATCAAAATCATCTGAAAATTAAACTGCCACTCACTGGGAAGGTCCCAAGGATCGAACTTGTACAAATCGATGTCTCCGATAATCTGCAAGGAAAAATGGTGGCCGGCGACTTTTCTGCAGAGGTACTGAACCAGGAGCTCTTCGTCGGTCGGGTAGAACCGGAACCCGGGAGGCAGACACAGTTGTGAAAGCGGGTCGGATTCTTGGAGGCCCATTTTTTCCGGTTTTTATGGAAGATAAGAACAAAAGAGAATTTGTGCACTGTTTGGGTAATGAGAAATTGAGAGCTGAACGACTTTGTATAATTTTTTTTTTTTTTTTTTTT